AAAAAAAAAAAAAAAACAACTAAAAAAAAATGTTTTACAATGGTCTGTGGTGACAGCTGTACAACTGTGTGAATATCCTAAAAGTCAATGGACTGCAGACTTTAAATGTGTGAATTATATGGTATGTGAATTATATCTCAATCAAGTTGTTTAAAACACGTGTATGTATGTCTTCTAAATCGACCTGTATGTAAGACTGGGCGTCGTGCTTTCTTTCACTGTCGTATCATGTATCTTTCTCAATATCTATTACGAATTTTGGGAACTGCCGAAATGGCATTGTTTCAATTGTACCTAAGCCCGCATATTATATGTCTCTGGAGTAAGAAACAGATTTGGAGTTACTTCTCCAGATGAATTGGAACACTTCCTGGGGGCTCTTCTAAGAGAGGCAGGTGGATAGCAGGGTTTGTCCAGAAAGCTGGGCAGTTGACGCCCTGGCTGCTGTCCGTACCGCTTGACGGCCATACAGAGGTTTTTCTTCCTGGCTTAGGATCTGCCTACGGAGGGCCCCTCACTTCCCAGGGACTCCGATGGTGGGTGATGAGTGGCTGTGTCTCCCATAGGCAAGGGCTGGGATCTGGAAGGATCCTGACCTCTGTCCTCCTGCCTCGGTTATTCCCAGGGATGTGGGGTTTGATAATTCACATGGCACACTTCTGGGCTGTAACGGGTTGAACTGTGTCTCCCAAGAGATGATGAGGTCCTGATCCCCAATACCGGTGAAGGTGACCTTATTTGGAAATAGGGTCTTTGCAAGGTGATCAAGATAAGGGAGGGTCATTAGCGTGGGCCCTCGTCCAATAGGTTCCGATAAGGAGAAGCCTGGACACAAGAGACAGACACGAAGACAGGCAGGACGTCACAAGAGATTAAGGAGAGACTGGGCTGATGATCTATAAGATGAAGATGATCAGGAAACCACCAGAATCTGGGACAGGGACACACTAGAATCTCCCCTACGTCCCTCAGAAGGAACCAGCCCCGTGGACACCAGGATCTTTGACTTCTGCCCTCCCGAAACTCGAGAGAATCATCTTCTGATGTTTAAGCCACTTGATGAGTGGCACTTGGTTCCAGCAGTGCTGGAAAAGTGATACAGGTGTGGCATGAGTTACTAAGAAATTCTTTTAGGCAGATAAGGAGGAAAAGTTTTCGTTTCTTTTAAAGCTGCTCCGAAAGCATTTCTTGTAAAGCCTGGCTCTTAAAGCCCAGTCAGCAACCTTAATATGCAAATACCAGCTGTTAAAAACTGGGTCCACCCCACATGGCAATTCCCAGCACTGTCCTCTTGCTCTTGCCCCTGCATGTCCCTGGCAACATGGCTGCCCCCACATATATCCACATGTGTAGAACATTAGGACGTGCTGCATTTGCATATTAAAAGGTGAGGGTGGGAGGGCCAGTTTTTTTTGTGGGCTACATAAGTAACATACCTGGTCAAACGAATCCCCTAAGCCCTATGCAAGACACTGCCTCCTCCAGCCTCTGTATATACCTGGCTGCCTTCCACTCCACTTGGGGATCTCCGCTTTCAGATTTGGAGCCCCCCTCCCTCTCTCTCTGTACGGGGGAGCCTCTTCCTTCTGCCTTCTCTTTCCCTTCTTGCCAATTAAACTCTCAGCTCCTTAAAACCACTCCATCGAGCCAGGCACAGTGGCTCACACCTGTAATACCATCACGTTGGGAGGCCGAGGCCTGTGGATCACAAGGTCAGAAGTTCAAGACCAGCCTGGCCAACATGGTGAAACCTCATCTCTAGAAAAATATAAAAATTAGCTGGGTTCATGCCTGTAATCTCAGCTACTTGGGAGGCTGAGGCAGGGGAATCGCTTCAACCCAGGAGGCAAAGGTTGCAGTGAGCTGAGATCATGCCACTGCCCTCCAGCCTGGCAACAGAGCTAGACTCTGTCTCAAAAAGACAAAAAAAACCCAAACAATTAAAAAAAAACAAAAAACACTTCATGTGTGTCCATGTCTTTTTATGTAAACTGGCATAAAAACCAAAACCCTGGTGTTCCTCCACTCATCAGAGCTGCATCACAGGGACCACGCTTCCCAGTCCTCTCCCCAGGCGCTCTTCCACGAACACAGGACAACTCCAGCCCAGTCCTGAGGAACACGGTCAGGCCCATGAGTTTAATTAGCCACCATGCAAATGGACCATGAGGTTTCTGAAAAGAGATGACTTAAAAGATCCTCTTCTAAATGATTAAGTCCCCTCAGCCCCATGTAAGATTTCCAAACATGTCTGGAAGGATTTGTG